TTGCTACAGAAAGCACAGATACAGACATTGATATTGCTTTCCAGGGATCTCTTTCGGCAGAAGTTAAATACAATCCGTGGATGACGGACATACTGGTGGACAAACATAAGACTGTATTCAAAATAGATGCAGGAGCTGATATCACTGCTGTCCCAGAAACATTGTATTCTCAGTACAAATTTGGCAACTTAGAAAAACCAAAGAAAATCCAACAGGGACCGGGAGGCACCAGATTGAAGGTGAAAGGCATGTTTACAGCAACACTCAGCAAAAACAGTGTTTGTACTAAGGAGGACATTTATGTTGTGAAGGATTTATGTACATCACTGCTGAGTGGACGTGCAGCTATGGCATTAAAATTGGTTGCCAGAGTAAACCAAATAAGTTTAGACTCAATTGATGCTGTGAAGCAGGAGTTTCCTAAACTTTTCACAGGACTGGGACTGATGGAGGGCGAATATAACATTGTTCTGTCACCAGATGCGCAGCCTTTCTCCCTCTCAACGCCGAGGCGGATATCCCTCCCCCAACTGCCGAAGGTTAAAGAGGAGCTTAACCGTATGCAGCGGGAAGGGGGCATCACCAAAGTGGAGGGGCCAACAGACTGGTGTGCACCTATGGTGGTTGTCCCCAAGACCTTGGGCAAGGTGAGAATATGCATTGATCTCACAGAACTGAATAAATATGTCATGAGAGAAAAACATCCTCTCCCATCAGTAGAGCACACGCTCGGACAGCTAGCAGGAGCAAAAGTGTTCTCCAAATTGGATGCCAATGCTGGATTCTGGCAGATTCCACTGTCAAGGAAGTCTTCCCTGCTCACCACCTTCATTACACCTTTTGGGCGCTATTGCTACAATCGGCTCTGCTTTGGGATTTCATCAGCACCAGAGCACTTCCAGAAGTGCATGACACGGATTCTGGAGGGCCTAGATGGAGTCCTTTGTCTTATGGATGATGTCCTCATCTGGGAGACAACACAGCAGGAACACGATGAAAGACTGAGGAAGGCACTGTTTTGACTCCAGGAAGCAAACAAAACACTAAATGACAAATGTGAGTTTTCTAAGTGCAGAATAAAGTTCCTGGGACAAATCATTGATGCATCAGGGGTCAGTCCAGATCCAGATAAAGTCAGTGCTATAAGAGCCATGGAGGAGCCCAGAAATGTAAGCGAGGTGAGGCGCTTTCTGGGTATGGTGAACCATCTTGGGAAGTTCCTTCCCCACTTGGCAGAGAAAACCAGACCTTTGAGAGATCTTTTGAAGAAGTCAAACATGTGGTCATGGGGTCCACCGCAGCAACAAGTTTTCGATGCTCTTAAAACAGATCTGACAACAACACCAGGACTAGCATTGTATGACCCGAATGCAGAGACACGTGTCTCAGCAGATGCATCATCGTATGGACTCGGTGCAGTTCTGCTCCAGAAAAACACTGATACAGGGTGGAAGCCAGTGGCATATGCATCACGGTCTCTGAGCGACACGGAGCGGAGGTATGCTCAGATTGAGAAAGAGGCTCTCGCTTCAACGTGGGCCTGCGAGAGGTTCGCAGAGTTTCTGATTGGGAAGAGTTTCCACATTGAAACCGATCATAAGCCATTAGTCCCATTGTTGGGGTCGAAGAGTCTAAACGAGCTGCCTCCTCGCATACAGCGTCTACGAATGCGACTGATGAGATTTTCCTACAGTTTTTCCCATGTGGCTGGCAAAAATATTGCTACAGCTGATGTTTTGTCCAGAGCTCCAATCTTCAGCGAGTCAGGAAGTCCGCAAGAAGAGGAGGTCAACTTGTATGTTGACTCAGTCGTTGCATGTTTACCCGCCACGGAAACACGACTGCGGGAAATCCAAAGACATCAGGACGACGACAGCATACTCAAAGAGCTGAAAAAGTTCTGTGTGGAAGGATGGCCAGATAAATACTCTACTGAGAAAATGTTTCAGCCTTATCTGCCATTTTCAGGTGAACTTACTGTTGAAAATGGCCTGCTTCTTTATGGTAGCAGAATAGTGATTCCAGCTTCTCTCAGAAAGGACATTCTATCAAAARTACATGAGGGACACTTGGGAATAACTAAATGTAGAGACAGGGCCAAACATTCAGTGTGGTGGCCGGGTCTCAGCAGAGAGCTGAGTAAGCTGTTGGAGACCTGCGAGACATGTTGTCGGGAGAGAACTAAACACAAAGAGCCACTGCTGCCCACTGAATTCCCACAAAGACCATGGGTCATGGTGGGAGCTGATCTTTTCCAGTTTAAGGACAAACAATATTTGATTGTTGTGYATTATTTCTCTAGATTTTTTGAAGTTGTAAAGCTTACCTCCACGACATCTGAGGGAGTGATCGAACACTGTAAGTCCATCTTCGCACATCACGGCATACCAGAGCGTTTCCGTACTGATAATGGACCACAGTTTGCTTCGGATTCCTTCAGAAGATTTGCACAAGAATGGGGTTTCAGTCATGAAACATCCAGCCCACATTTTCCTCAGAGCAACGGCGAGGCTGAGAGAGCTGTCAGAACTATCAAGACTCTCCTTAAGAAGTCAAGGGATCCGTATCTCGCTCTTATGGCCTACCGTTCCGCTCCATTGGCAAATGGATTCAGTCCGACTGAGCTTCTCATGGGAAGGCGGATAAGGACAACTGTTCCTGTTACCCAGTCACAGCTGATGCCACAGAATATTGATACGGAAAAGCTGAGGACCGCAGAGAACGTCTATAGACAGAAACAAAGACAAAACTATAACCGTAGACACCGGGCTCACAACATGTCACTCCTACATCCGGGTGAGAAGGTGTGGGTGACAGATCTGCAAACCAGAGGAACAGTAGTGTCTGGAGCAGGTTCACCTCGATCCTACATCATCGAGACACCCAGAGGCATGCTGAGAAGGAATAGCTACCACCTTTCACACATCCCTAGAGCAASTGAAACATCTGTTGTTCCACCTGAAACTGCTGCTGTTCCACACGAGACATTAACTGAAGAAAATATTCACAATTCCACACACACACCTGTTCCAGATGAAGACCAGCAGGAGGCTAGCCATCATACTCCACCACCTGAGAGTCGAGTTTCACTGAGAAGTAGGAGATCTCCAGCCTATCTGGATGATTACATCTGTTCATAGGACCTGAGTGAGTTTCCTGCATGGGGCAGAATAATCCCCACACTCAGGTAGAGGAGTTGGGTAATCCACCCCTTCCTCTTAGTAGCTAAAGTTAAATGTTACAGAGGTTACTGTTCTGAGATTTATATAAAHCTGTGACTGGAAAGAGATTTAAATTGTGCACTGTTAGTTTAGAATAAATAAATAGTAATAAAAAGTTAAGAGTTCTAGCACATTCTGCTGTYGAAAAGTAGTAGTACGATACTGAGTTAATTTTGGGTATTCCACAGAATGCATCTTTCTGGTGTGTGATTTAGGTTTACATTTCTACATGTGCTTACATAGACCCTCATAACAAATCCTATTCAGAAAGGGGGATGTAGTATCAGGCTATCCGTGGATAGGAACCTTTGTGCTGTAATGTGTTTGGGGGCGGACCAGAATAAAGGAACACCTGTTAAGATGGAGTTGTCTCACGCGTGCTTCTGTATGGCCTCAAGATTTTATTAAATATACATATCGGAGAACAGAACAAGCTTTAGCATTAGCCCCGACGCTATATTGCCTTATATGTATTAGCTCGGTGCTAGCGCGACAAACAAGCTAAACTGCGGTCCTCCATCCATATATTTTCAGTTACAGACTGTCATTTCTGTGTTCCTCTCTCTGTCATGTGGATGGAGGAGCTCAGTGACGAGAGGAGAATGTGTAGCGCTGATCTAATACATATATACAGTATATCTAGGACAAAGCTCAGCACCATAGGAGACCGAGCTTTCTGCACGGTTGCTCCTCATCTGTGGAATTCACTCCCAGATCATTTAAGGGAACCACAGTCTGTTGAAACTTTCAAAAATGGACTAAAAACCTACCTGTTTCGCACCTTCTATGACCATGTTTGATTTATTTTTTTGTAGCACTTTGGGATTATTGAATGTAAAGTGCCCTGTAAAACAAATGTATTATTATTAACCTACAGAGGTTTTTTTACCTCGTATTCAGGAAGAGCATTGTGGTTTTCGTCCTGGTCGTGGAACACTGGACCAGCTCTACACCCTCAGCAGGGTCCTGGAGGGTGCATGGGAGTTCGC